CGGAACCTGCAACAACCATTCCTGTCCCTGCTCTATCCATGTCTCCGAAATGGCCACAACATTGAAGTCCCAGGTACCAACCCATGCTGCAAGTTCACCCACCTTATTCCGGATGCTCCTGGCGTTGAAGTAGACACACTTCAAACCACCTTCCTGCCTGCCGGTACACTCCTGCGACCTTGAAACCTTATTCATGACCTCACTACTCTCAACCTCCTCAACACTGGAGCTACAATTCAGGTTCCCATCCCCCTGCTGAATTAGTTTAAACCCTCCTGAAGAGCATTAGCAAATTTCCCCCCGAGAATATTGGTACCCCTCTGGTTCAGGTGTAGACCATCCCGTTTGTAGAGGTCCCATCTACCCCAGAATGAGCCCCAATTATCCAGGTATCTGAATCCCTCCCTCCTGTACCATCCCTGTAGCCACGTGTTCAACTGCTCTCTCTCCCTATTCCTCGCCTCGCTAGCACATGGCACGGGTAACAAACCAGAGATAACAACTCTGTTTGTTCTAGCTCTAAGCTTCCACCCTAGCTCCTTGAATTTCTGCCTTACGTCCCCATCCCTTTTCCTACCTATGTTGTTGGTGCCTATGTGGACCATGACTTGGGGCTGCTCCCCTTCCCCCTTAAGGATCCCGAAAACACGACCCGAGACATCACGGACCCTGGCACCTGGGAGGCAACACACCAACCGCGAGTCTCTCTCGTTCCCACAGAATCTCCTATCTGTCCCCCTAACTATGGAGTCCCCAATGACTAATGCTCTCCTCCTCTCCCCCCTTCCCTTCTGAGCAACAGGGACAGACTCTGTGCCAGAGACCTGTACCCCATGGCTTACCCCTGGTAAGTCGTCCCCCCCAACAGTATCCAAAACGGTATACTTGTTTTTGAGAGGAACGGCCACAGGGGATCCCTGCACTGTCTGCCTGTTCCCTTTCCGTCCCCTGACTGTAACCATCTACTTTTTTCCTGTACCTGAGGTGTGACTACCTCCCTGTAACTCCTCTCAATTACCCCCTCAGCCTCCCGAATGATCCAAAGTTCATCTAGCTCCAGCTCCAGTTCACTAACACGGTTCCCGAGGAGCTGGAGTTGGGTGCACTTCCCGCAGATGAAGTCAGTGGGGACACTCGTGGTGACCCTTACCTCCCACATTCTACAGGAGGAGCATACAACTGCCCTAACATCCATTCCCACTATTCTGAATTCCCAAACAGACAAATAAAAAAAAACTAGTAGCCTTACCAAATCAGTGCTCAGAACCTTTTTTTTTGGTTAGAGGAGGAGGATGGGTGGGAGACACTACCTAGGTAGTATTTCGGGTAAAGCAACCGCCCAAATATATTACCTCACTTACTCCAAAAACGGAGTCACGCGAGGTAAGTCTTTTATAATCGAAAAGCTTACCTTCCCAGGCTGCCCTCACACTTCCTCCCGGACTCCCGCCGCTGAAACAACTGAAAGGCAAGCACAGGTGTGGAATGGCAGGGATGTGCTTGAGGAGATCAGTTAACATCCATGTGGGTCAGTTGAGGGTAAGGGACCTTGTGAGTACAGGTTAGTCCCGAGGCCCAAGAGAGTTTTGTTTTTTTTTTGAGGCCTGTGCTGACTGGTCAAAGCAAGGGACCTGGTCAAGGCCTGAGTGAGGGTCTTTCAAGGCCTGGGTGAGGGCACTGGGGCCTGTGGTTGTTCATCGAGGCTGGCGCAGATATGTTGTTGTTTGAAAAGTGAGTTGGTTGAAGCCTGTGCTGCTGGTGGAGGCTGAAAGGAACTGGATGGGCTTGAGGAGGTTGTTCGAAGCCTGTGGAGGTCAGTTGAGACCAGTGTTGGTGTGCATCAGTCAAGGCCTAAACGACCTGTTGAAACTCGAGGGGGTCGGTCGAAGCCCATGTGGTGTATCGGTCGAAGCCCATGCTGGCCGGTGGGGGACTATGCTTAGAAATAGATAAACAGCTCTTCACTTTCTTGTTTTTGTAGTGATGCAGATGCAAGGGCAATTCAGAAAAATTTGGGAAATCAAAACATCATGGAGGAGGAGGAAGTTCGGAACATCCAGAATGCCTGGGAGCTAGACCTTAACGATCGGTGGCGTTTATACAGGTAACCCGTGAGTGATGGCACTGCTGTGTGGTAAAATACAAGGGTGATAAAACTAAAGAGAGAAACAGGACATCCATTTACATTACTCCCTTCATAACCTCGGGGCGTCTCAACATTCTTCGCACCCAATGAATCCTTTCTGTTGAAATTAATCACTGTTGCAATGCAGGAAATGTTTTTGAAACCCCAGGCAAGATTCTCCAATCCAGTACCCTAAACTGTTAAACTCTGGGGTGAAGAGGGATATACTGGCTCCCCCTTCATTGTTCACCCACCTCCGCGGTTGGTAATAACAAGGTGAATTTATGAAGGATTCCCTCCCTTTCTCCCTGACCAAAGTTAACTTCTGCTTCAAAAGGAAATTTTTTTATTCACTTTTGGGGTGTGGACGTTGCTGGCTGGCCAGCATTTCTTGCCCGTCCCTAGCTGCCCTTGAGAAGGTGGTGGTGAGCTGCCTTCTTGAACCGCTGCAGTCCACCTGCTGTGGATCGACCCATAATGCCCTTGGGGGGGGTTGCAGCTGGGATTTCCAAGATTTTGACCCAGTGACAGTGAAGGACCAGCAATATATTTCCAAGTCAGAATGGTGAGTGGCTTGGAGGGGAACTTGCAGGAGATGGTGTTCCCATTTATCTGCTGCCCTTGTCCTTCCAGGTGAAGCGGTCATGGGTTTGGAAGGTGCTGTCTGAGGATCTTTGGTGAATTTCTGCAGAGCATCTTGTCGATAGTACACACTGCTGTTACTGAGCGTCGGTGGTGGAGGGAGTGAATGTTTGTGGATGTGGTGCCAATCAAGCGGCTGCTTTGTCCTGGATGGTGACAAGCTTCTTGAGTGTTGTTGGGGCTGCACTCATCCCAGCAAGTGGGGAGTATTCCATCACACTCCTGACTTGTGCCTTGTAGATGGTGGACAAGCTTCAATAGGAATCAATTTAACTTGGCTTTCCTGAATTAATGAGTGACTTTATTAATAATTAAGTGTGGGGAACATTAGATATGTGCCACATATGCAAAGATTAGATATAAAAGGGAACCCCAATAGCATGAAAATTTTAGACCAAGATTATGTGGATCAGTCTCTGAATTGTTTGTAAAGAGCAGATAGTTGAACACTGCAATGGTGGTTACCATGAGTTTGAACAGTTGGTTTCACAATCCTTAGTCTTTGCACATTGTTTGAGATTCTGTTCTAATTCCTTTTGACTGTGATTGAATTCCAGCATGCAGGGTGAAAGAGAGTCCTCTTGTTTCCCTTTTATGTAGCTGCTAGCTAGCTGACTTCTAATACTCAGAGTGGGAGTGTCCCTTTTACCTGCATTACGGGGGTGCCTAGGGGATAGTTCTTTGTGGCGTTCAAAGCACACTAATGCTCATACCCAGGCTAGTGCATATGAGAATATTCAGTCCCACATACTCCAGTAGTGTTGAACAGTCTTTTTAACCCCATCTTTTTGTATTTTTCAAGCAGAAGAATACAACATGTGTCTGTGGTTTGGGACATAATCCGCAGAGGGTGATCTGCTGTTGTGCAGGACATAGTATCTTTGGGGTCATGAGACATCTCAGACCAGAATGTTTCTTTAGTTGTTACATCCCATAAGGTCCAGACCCAGATTGTGGCTAGCTGGCACAGAATTTACACCAACAGTTATTTCGCCTCAGCAACATTCTTTTAAAAATACATTTTGGAATTAAGGACTACACATGGCTATAGTATTTCAGGGTTTGGACCCTCCATTGTAACAAAACTCCACAGATGAATAAGCTCAGCAAGATCTCTCAAATGGCATGGTGATAACGAGCGGATCACTTGTGTTGTTGGTTGATCACTAAGTATGAGATAGATCCTGCCAAGCGTTCTGTCTTCCTTGCCAAGCAGTGCCATGTGCTGATCCAGGAACAGGATAGCTTCATCAAATAAAAACTGTAAGAAATGTGGATTTTGTAAATCAGGAACATAAACAGAAGTCACTAAAAGCTCAGCAGGTCTGGCAGCATCTGTGAAGATAAAAAGCAGAGTTAACATTTTGGGTCTGGTGACCCTTCCTCAGGATAAGTCGATTGGTTGGACATGATTCTGAGGGCATCATTACATGCCCAGCCACATACACCAGCTGCTCCCCTGTGGACCTACCATTGGTCATCTGACCTGTCTGTCATGTAACACAGACTGTCACATCAAGCCAATTCTTCTCTAATTGGACAATTCTTCAGTCAGGCAAATATCAAATATGCAGCTTCATACTTTGACAAGTACTAAACAAAAAGGTTCGAAAGAAACTTTTTGAGAAGCCAGCATTTTTGTTTTCCTGTCTTTCTCTGTCTGACCTTTCTCCTGCTGTGGCTGAGTCATGAATTCCTGCAGAAATTCACCAAAGAACCTTGGACAGCACCTCTCAAACCCATAACCACTTACATCTAGAAGGACAAGGGCAGCAGATACACAGGAACACCAGCCCCTGCAAGTTCCCCTCCAAGCCACTCACGATCCTGATTTGGAAATATATCACCATTCCTTCATTGTTGCTGGGTCAAAATCCTGGAATCACCTCTATCAGGGCATTGTGGGTCAGCCCACAGCAGGTGGGCTGCAGTGGTTCAAGAAGGCAGTTCACCACCACCTTCTCAAGGGGTAACTGGGGATGGGCAATAAATGCTGGGCCCAGCTAGCGACACCCACATCCCACAGATGAATAAATAAATTAAAAAATCTCCAGGACAATTCAGCAATTTCGAAAAGGGGATCATTTTAATATTGATCCTGAAAGATGCTTTTACTTGACAAAGCAGCATTTGGAGTAAGTGACAGGGACTGTGTAGAGGGAGCTTTACTCTGTATCTAACCCGGTGCTGTCCCTGTCCTGGTTGTGTTTGATAGAGACAGTGTAGAAGCAGCTTTACTCTGTATATAACCCTGTCCTGCCCTGTCCTGAGAATATCCATCTAGGAAAGGGGCTGTATAACACCTTGTATTAGGGAATGAACTGGCCAGGTGATTGAAGATTCACTAGGGGAGCATTTTGGGAACAGTGATCATAATTCTGTCAGTTTTAAGATAGCTTTGGATAAGGATAAAGCTGGTCCTCGGGTGAAAGTGCTAAATTGAGGTAAGGCTAATTCTAACAATATTAGGCAGGAACTGGAGAAATTAGATTGAGGTCAGCTGTTTGAGGGTAAATCTACATCTGACATGTGGGAGCCTTTTAAAAGAAGTTTGTCAGAGTTCAGGACTAGCATGCTTCCGTGAGGATGAAAGATAAGGAAAGATTTAGGAATCCTGAATGACAAGAGATATCGAAAATTTAGTCACAAAAAAAGGAAGTGTTTGTAAGTTTAGGAAACTGAAATCAGACAAGGCCCTTGAGGAATATGAAAGAAGCAGGAAAGAGCTTAAACAAGGAATTAGGAAGGTTAAAAGGAGCCTTGAAATGTCCTTGGCGAGTAGGATTAAGGAGAGGAGCAAGAAGGTAACTAGGGAAAGGGTAGGCCCACTCCAGAACAAAGGAGGGAATTTATGCATGGAGTCAGAGAAAATGGATGAGATCCTTAATGAGTACTTCACATTGGTATTCACCAAGGGGAAAGATATGGATGATGGTAAGATTAGGGAGAGGTATGTTAATATTCTAGGGCATGTCAATATTAAGAAGGAGAGGTATTAGGTGTCTTTAAATCATTAAGGTAGATGAGTCCCAAGGGCCTGATGGGATCTATCCCGGAATACTGAAGGACACAAGGATAAAGATTGCTGGGGCCGTGACAGAGATCTTTGTATCCTCTTTAGACACAGGCGAGGCCCCAGAAGACTGGAGAATAGCCAATGTTGTTCCTTTGTTTAAGAAGGCCAGCAGCCATAATCTAGGAAATTATAGGCTGGTGAACCTAATGCCAGTGGGAGAGAAACTATTGGAGAAGAATCTTAGACACAGGATTTACTCACATTCGGAAAAAATGGACTTATTAGGCACAGTCAGCATCAGGGAGGTATTATACAGTCATAGAGTCATAGAGGTGCACAGCACAGAAACAGACCCTCCTATACTCAATGCACTGACCAATAATGGCAAGCATACCAAACGTCTTTGGTATCTCTTTGTTCAGCAACACTCCCCAGGACCTTACCATGAAGTGTATAAGTCCTGCCCTGATTTGCCTTTGCAAAATGCAGCACCTCACATTTATCTAAATTAAACTCCATCTGCCACTCCTCAGCCCATTGGCCCATCTGATCAAGATCCTGTTGTACTCTGAGGTAACCTTCTTTGCTGTCCACTACACCACCAAGTTTGGTGTCATCTGCAAACTGATTAACCATACCTCCTAAGTTTACATCCGAATCATGTATATAAAAGAAGAAAAGCAGTGGACCCAGCACCAATCCTTGTGGCACACTTCTGGTAACAGGCCTCCAGTCTGAAAAGCCATCCTGCACCACCACCCTCTGTCTTCTGCTTTTGAGCCAGTTCTGTATCCAAATATCTCACAAATTTGATTGAGTTTTTGAAAGAAATGATTGATGTGTGTAGGCTGGTGGATGATGTATATTCAGACTTTACAAAAACACTTAACAAGGTCTCTCATAGTGGGTTGGTCCAGAAGATTAAGTCACATGGGATCCATGGTAAATTGGCTACAGAATTAAGTTAGTCATAGAAGACAGAGGGTAGTTGTGAGGTGTGTTTATCTGATTGGAAATCTGAGACCACTGGTGTTCCATATATATGTATGTGTATATATATATATATTAATCAGACACTTACATTTTCATTCAAATCATTATTATATACAAATAAATATAAATAAATGAAAATGTAGGTAGTCTGAATAGTAAGTTTTCAGCTGACACAAAAATTGGTGTCATTTTAGAAATTAAGGAAGGTTATCAAAGGACATAGCAGAATATAGATCAGTTGGAAAGTTGGGTGGAGAAATGTCAGATGGGGTGTGATCCAGACAAGTGTGAGGCGATGTATTTTATGAGGTCAAATGCAAAAGGTAAAATTATAATATAAATGGCAGGACTCTTAGGGGCATTGATATTCAGAGGGATTTTGGGATGCAAGTGCATAGCTCCCTGGAAGGGGATACACAAGTGATAGGATAGTGAAGGACATGGACAGCATGCTTACTTTCATTGGTCAGGACATTGAGTATAACAGTTGGCGAGTCATGTTACAGCTGTTTAAAACTTTAGTTAGGCCACACTTGGAATGTTATGTGCAGTTGTGATTGTCATTCAAAAGGAAGAAGGTGGAAGTTTTGGAGAGGGTGCAAAAGAGGTTTACCAGGATGTTGCCTGATTAGTGTATTAGCTGTAAGAAGATGATGGACAAACTTGGATTGTTTTTGCTAGAGTGTCCGAGGCTGAATGAGGAACTTAGTAGAAGTATATAAAATTGAGATGATGTAGAGGTGCCGGTATTGGACTGGGGTGGACAAGGTAAAAAAAAAATCACACGACACCAAGTTATAGTTCAACAGGTTTATTTGAAAAAATCAGCTTTCGGAGTCTCGCTCCTTCTTCAGGTGTTAGCGAGAGAGGTGGTATCAGATGCAGAATTTACAAGCAAAAGATCAAAGGGTCATACAAGTGAATTGAACAAACCTAAGATGGCTGCTAAACCTTGAATCAGTTAGAAAGGAGATGCAGGTTTTGATTGATTAATATGCAAATCCCAGAAATTCTTTCAAGTCACTGCTCCGAGATAACTAAAGGTTCTATCAATGTACTCATGACAAGGAATCACTGAAACAACTACGTAGCGATATCAGCAAGTTTCACCCCACTATCAGACTTACCACGGACTACTCTTTAGAATCAGTCTCATTCTTGGACACGCGCATCTTCATCAGGGATGGACACCTCAATACCTCACTCTACTGCAAACCCACAGATAACTTCAGGATGCTACGCTTCTCCAGCTTCCACCCTAAACATATTAAAACAGCCATCCCCTATGGAGAAGCCCTACGCATACACAGGATCTGTTCAAATGAGGAGGAACGAGATGGACACCTGAACGTGTTGAAGGACGCCCTCATAGGAACAGGATACGATGCTCATCGATCACTAGTTCCGACATGCCTCAGTGAAAAACCATAATGATCTCCTCAGAAGACAGACACGGGACACGACCGATAGGGTACCCTTCATCGTTCAGTACTTCCTCGGAGCAGAGAAACTATGCCATGTTCTTCGCAGCCTTCAACACATAATCGATGACGGCGAACACCTCGCCAGGATCTTCCCCACGTCTCCATTTCTCGCCTTCAAACAACCGCCAAACCTTAAACAGACCATTGCTGGCAGCAAACTACCCAGCCTTCAGGACAACATCGACCACAACACTATACAACTCTGCCATGGTAATCTCTGCAAGACATAGACACTACATCACACGTGAGAACATCACCCACCACACGTACACAGCAGATGCTCATGTGACTCGGCCAACGTTGTCAGTCTCATACGCTGCAGGCAAGGATACCCCTTGACATGGTAAATCGGTGAAACCGTGCAGACACTATGACAACGGATGAATGGACACCGCGCAACAATCGCCTGATAGGGATGTTCCTTCCCAGTGGGGGACACTTCAGCTGTCAAGGACATTCGGCCTCGAATCTTCGGGTACACGTCCTCCAAGGCAAACTTGGGATACCCAACAATGCAGAGTTGCCGCACAGAGGCTGACGGCCAAGCTCGGTACCCATGAGGACGGCCTCATCCGGGATCCTGGGTACATGTTGCACTTCAGGCGATCCCACCGCACTATACACACTCATACACACTCATGCACACACTCTCTCATGCACACACACTTGCACATTCTCAAGCGCGCGTGCGCGTGCGCGTGCACACATGTGCGCACACGCACACACACGTGCGCACTTGCACACACATATAAATCTATGGGGTGAATTTGCATTTGCAGCTACGTTCTATTTTGTTCAAAAAGCACACCATTTGTAGACAGTCAATATGGCATTTTATAAATACCTACTTTGGAAATGAAGTTGATACACAGTCAGATTCTAAACAAGGCTACACACTTAAAATGCATTGTCTGAGCTGGAATGTCACCTCTGGTATACTAATAAAATCTTTAGTTAGCTCAGGGCAGTGACTTGAAAGAAATTCTGGGATTTGAATATTAATCAATTAAAACCCACATCTCCTTTCTAACTGATTAAAGATTTAACAGCCGTCTTAGGTTTGTTCAACACATTTGCGTCAGTTCTGTGATCCTTTGATCTTTTGCTTATAAATTCTGTGCCTGATGTCACCTCTGTCCCTAACACCTGAAGAAGGAATGAGACTCTGAAAGCTTGTGTTTTCAAATGAACTACAATCTGGTGTTGTGTGATTTTTGACCTTATAAAATTGAGAGGCACAGATAGGGTGTAGTGGGAGTCTTTTTCCCAGGGTGGTAATGTCAAAATCTAGGAGACATAGGATTAAGGTGAGAGGGGGAAAATGTAAATAGAATCTGCGAGGCAAAGTTTCTTTTGAACAGAGGGTGGTAGTTGCCTGGAATGTGATGCTGGTGGTAGAGGCAGATACAATCGCAACATTTAAGAGGCATTCAGACAGACATATGAACAGGCAGCAAATAGAAGGACACTGACCATATGCAGGCAGATGGGATTTGTTTTAGAATGGCATCATGGTCAGCACAGACATGGTGGGTTGAAGGGCCTGTCCTGTGCTGTATTGTTCTATGTACTGTAAGCCGATGCTGTACCTGCCCTGGGATTGTTTGAAACACTATTGTCCCACACCAAAAGCAGTGAGAACTACGATAATCCTGTCGGTGAAAGATGATAATGAAAGAGTCCAGATGAAGAGTGGAGCTGTGTTTTTGTAGGAAATGGAGAATGGCCTACGAGGAGAAGCTCCAAGCCTCCATCAATAAACATGTGAAATTGTATGAAGAGAAGACACAGGAACTGTCTGAGCTGATTGCTGAGGAGGATGCGATGCTCCTGAAAACAGCTGATGTGATTGCCATGACGACCACAGGTATCCGTTTAACATATTGAGTCAAGTTGTGGGAAAGATCAACATCAAAGAGGGTTTTTTTTTTAATTCATTCACGGGATGAGGGCGTTGCTGGCCAGGCAGCATTTATTGTCCATCCCTAATTGCCCAGAGGGCAGTTAAGAGTCAACCACATTGCTGTGGGTCTGGAGTCACATGTAGGCCAGACCAGGTAAGGATGGCAGTTTCCTTCCCTAAAGGGCATTAGTGAACCAGATGGGTTTTTCCAACAATCAACAATGGATTCATGGTCATCATTAGACTCTTAATTCCAGATATTTTATTGAATTCAAAGCGCACCATCTGCTCTGGTGGGATTCAAACCCAGGTCCCCAAAATCCAGGATTAATAGTCCAGCGATAATACCACTAGGCCATCGCCTCCCCCTATATAAGAGGTGGTCCATAAGTGGTGGTCACATTCACCTGCAATCCAGTGACAAGAAATGATTGTGTTTACATCAAACTGGTTTCACACTGTCAGGGGGTGTAAAACGGTTTTTCACTAGTACAGCTGTGTTAAATAGTGGTACAGCAGGCAACCTGTACACAGCAAGCACCACCACCAGTCAGGGAGAACAGACTCTGTTTCTTTTAGTGATGGTCAGAGGACACCAATTAAGAGCTTATGATATTTCACCTTCATTTGGGAAGGCAAAGAGGGCCTTTTTTTATTCTAAAACAGCAATATCAACTGTGCAGCGCTGACCCTCCGACAGTGCGGCGCTCCCTCAGCGTTGACCCTCCGACAGTGCCCACTCCCTCAGCGCTGACCCTCCGACAGTGCGGCGCTCCCTCAGCACTGACCCTCCGACAGTGCGGCGCTCCCTCAGCACTGACCCTCCGACAGTGCGGCGCTCCCTCAGCACTGACCCCCCGACAGAGCGGCGCTCCCTCAGCACTGACCCTCCGACAGTGCGGCGCTCCCTCAGCACTGACCCTCGGACAGTGCGGCGCTCCCACAGTGTTTGAATCATTCTGAGACTGAAAAGGTGAGGGAATGTTAAATATAATTAATGCTATCATCCAATTCAGATTTACAAGGATGTTGCCAGGACTCCAGGGACTGAATTATAGAGAGAGGTTGGACAAGCTAGGACATTTTTCTTTAGAACGTAGGAGACTGAGGGGTATCTTATAGAAGTGTATAAGATCATGAGAGGCATGGATAGGGTCAATGCACTCAGTCTTTTTTCCAGGGTTGGGAAAATGAGGACTGGAGGCCGTCAGTTTAAGGTAAGAGGGGAAAGAACAAATGGGAACTTGAGGGGCAATGGCCTTAGTGGTATTATTGCTGGACTGTTAACCCAGAGACCCAGATAACATTCTGGGGATCTGGGTTCGAATCCTGCCCTGGCAGATGATTCAAACACTGTGGGAGGGTCAGCACTGATGGAGCGCCGCACTGTCGGACGGTCAGCGCTGAGGGAGTGCCGCACTGTCGGAGGGTCAGCACTGAGGGAGCGCCGCACTGTCGGAGGGTCAGCGCTGAGGGAGCGCTGCACTCCACCGACTTTGGTGTCATCCGCAAATTTACTAACCCATCCTTCTACGCCCTCATCCAGGTCATTTATAAAAATTACAAACAGCAGTGGCCCCAAAACAGATCCTTGAGGTACACCACTAGTAACTGAACTCCAGGATGAACATTTCCCATCAACCACCACCCTCTGTCTTCTTACAGCTAGCCAATTTCTGATCCAAACCGCTAAATCACGCTCAATCCCATATCTCCGTATTTTCTGCAATAGCCTACCATGGGGAACCTTATCAAACGCTTTACTGAAATCCATATACACCACATCAACCGCTTTACCCTCATCCACCTGTTTGGTCACCTTCTCAAAGAACTCAATAAGGTTTGTGAGGCACGACCTACCCTTCACAAAACCGTGTTGACTATCCTTAATCAAATTATTCCTTTCTAGATGATTATAAATCCTATCTCTTATAATCCTTTCCAACACTTTACCCACAACCGAAGTAGGGCTCACTGGTCTATAATTACCAGGGTTGTCTCTACTCCCCTTCTTGAACAAGGGGACAACATTTGCTAGTCTCCAGTCTTCTGGCACTATTCCTGAAGACAATGATGACATAAAGATCAAAGCCAAAGGCTCTGCAATCTCCTCTCTAGCGTCCCAGAGAATCCTAGGATAAATCCCATTCGGCCCAGGGGATTTATCTATCTTCACACTTTCCAGAATTGCTAACACCTCCTCCTTATGAACCTCAATCCCGTCTAGTCTAATAGCCTGTATCTCAGTATTCTCCTCGACAACATTGTCTTTTTCCTGTGTGAATACTGACGAAAAATATGCATTTAGCACCTCTCCTATCTCTTCAGACTCCACGCACAACTTCCCACTACTGTCCTTGACTGGCCCTAATCTTACTCTAGTCATTCTTTTATTCCTGACATACCTATAGAAAGCTTTAGGGTTTTCCTTGATCCTACCTACTGGTAAACCTCTTCTGAACCCTCGTCAGCTTAATAATATCCTTCCGAAAACTGGACGACCATAACTGGACACAGAATTCCAGAAGAGGCCTCACCAATGTCCTGTACAACCTCAACACAATGTCCCAACTCCTGTAGTCAAAAGACGGAGCAATGAAGGCAAGCGTGCCAAATGCCTTTTTAACCACCCTATCTATATGTGGCACAAACTTCAAAGAGTTATGTACCTGCATTCCTAGGTCCCTCTGTTCCACAACACTATCCAAGGCCCTACAATTAATTGTATAAGCCCTATCCTTGTTTATTGTACCAAAAATGCGATACCTCGCATTTATCCAGATTGAACTCCTTCTGCCATTTTTCAGCCCATTGACCCATTTGATCAGGATCTCTTTGTAATCTTTGAAAACCTTCTTCACTGTCTACTATGCCACCAATTTTGGTGTCGTCTGCAAATTTACTAACCGTGCCTTCTATATTCTCATTCAAATCACTTATATAAATGACAAACAAAAGCCTTAATTTTTTTTTAAAATGGGATGTGGGTGTTCCTGGCTGGGCCCAGTGTTTATTGCCCGTCCCTAGTTGCCCTTGTGAAGGTGGTGGTGAGCTGCCTTTTTGAATCGCTGCAGTCCATGTGGTATCAAGACACTTCCGCAGTGCTAATAGGGAGGGACTGCTAGGATTTTGACCCAGTGGCACTGTATGTTACAGAGCAGTCGATTTGGAAATATATCCCCCTTCCTTTGAGAAAATGCTTCAAAAACCTGGGTTGGTGGTTTGGGGACGAAACAAAAGTTAACGTTTTGAGGAACAAAAACAGAAGTTGGTAGAAAAGCTCAGCAGGTCTGGCAGCATCTGTGAAGAAAAAAATCAGAATTAAAGTTTCAGGTCCGGTGACCTTTCCTCAGATTTTTTCTGCGTGGATGCTGCCAGACCTGCTGAGCTTTTCCAGCAACGTCTGCTTTTGTTCCTGATTTACAGCATCCGCAGTTCTTTCGGTTTTTGTTAACGTTTTGAGTCTGGAATGACTCTTCTTCGGAACTGTTCTACCAGAATTTGATGCAATGCAGTAGCCTGCCAGATCATTGCGGACGGCCAATAGATAGTTAACCACAATGTGTTTTGTTATGCTAAAGGTGCTACACCAATGAAGGTTGTTGTACACTCCCTGCCTGCGCATATGCCCAGAGCTTTACCTTGTGTTTTGCCCCTAATTTGCAGGAGCTGCCAAATACCGGGCCCTGCTGCAGAAGGTTGAGCCCCGGATTGTCCTGGTTGAAGACGCGGCTGAGGTGTTGGAGGCTCACGTAGTTGCTGCTCTGACTCCATCTTGTCAACACCTCATCATGATTGGTGATTACAAGCAGGTAAAGGTCATGTGTAATGGAAAGGCCTGGGATCCTCTGCCATTTTCCGCACTCTGTCTCGTTGGGATCCAGTGCCATTTCTCTTGTGCCCTCTCATTAGGATCCAGTGTTGTTTTATTTGCTATCTCATTGGGATCCAGTTGGTTTTTCTTGCGGCCTCATTGGGATCTGGTGGATTTCTGATTGCTGTCTCACTGGGATCAAAGTACATTTTTCTCACTCTCCCAATGGGATCCATTGAGATTCCTCATGCTGTCATTGGGATCCAGTAGGATATTACTCATGCTGTCATTGGGATCCAGTGAGATATTCCACACACTCTCATTGGGAACCAGAGAGAGATTCCTCATGCTCCCGTTGGGATCCAGTGAGAGATTCCACACGCTCTCATTGAGATCCAGTGAGATGTTCTTCATGCTGTCATTGGGATCCATGAGATATTCCTCATGCTGTCATTGGGATCCAGTAAGATATTTCTTATGCTCTCATTGGGATCTAGTGAGAGATTCCTTATACCCCCATTGGGATCCAGTGAGAGAATCCACATGCCCTCATTGGGATCCTGTGAGAGATTCCTCTCTCTGTCTGACAGAAGCAGGGTCACAATTTACATCAATGATCTTTGTGAGAAAAGGGTTAGTTTGTGGAAGATTTTCATTGTGTACTCCTTAGGACACTATGCAAGAAATACCAGTGTAAAGAGAAAACAACATTAAGACTGTATGAAAGGACAGCGCTGGTTCTGATTGCTAGCGATGTTTCCATGGAGTATACAGCAGTTAATGATGATTGATAGTTAACTGCCAGAGTGTGTTTAAATTTAAACCAGACAGATCAACTGATTGGTTAAGACATTGCCCTGAGAAATGATCCAGCGAATGACTGTCATCTATTAATCATTATCTCATATAACACTATATTTAAGAAAGAAACCATTGAGTTCCAGGCGCCTACCACTCTCTGTATGGGGGAGAAAAGAACTGTCCTTGCATATTTCCCTTAAATTTTTCCCTTGTCACCTTAAACCTATGCTCCATAGTATTTGACATTTCCACACCAGGGAAAAGACTCTGACTATCCACACTCATCATGTAGATGAACCATTGGCCACAGGAAAGGGTGTGGGTGCCTGTGAATGAACTTTCTGTCACAGGGATGGATAGATGCTTGTAGATAACATGATATTGAAGGATCCAGAGAGAAATGAGGCAAATGGAATTATGATCAGCCATGTTCCCAACAGTGGCCTCAAAGACCAGCTTATTCCCCTTTGTCTTCTGCTTCCCATTCTTGCCCCCATTGTAAAATGAAAAGATATTTAGAATCAATGGATGATGAGCTTCATTTGAGGAACATTTTACCTGTGGCTTTGTCATGTGACAACGCATCATTTCCTTTGACATTTATTGGGCCTCTTTAGCATCTCACACAGTTGGATGTAAGCCTGCACATTCAGAATCACACCCTGGTCGATCAATTAATCTTCACAATCCGAGGTGAATTTCATCAGGGCCTTCCAACTGCAAAATGGCGTTTTTGTTGCTGAGGAGCATGCTGTGGCCAGTGAAAGGGGTGGAACTGACAAGTTGAGTGATCTTCCCTGGACCATGATCTTGTGTAGGACCCTGAACATGTCCTGCACAGGGAAAACAGTGAGCTGCAAATACCTCCCAGTGCTGGGCTGGAACTTCCTCGAGAGTTTGGAAGCTCTGAGAGGAGCCCTGCTTCAGCTTCCGGGTGGCCTTGGGCAGACTTCCATGCTCTCCATTTTGGTGGAGTCATGTTCCTGTCTGTTGCCTAGCTCACATTCCTTCGCCTCATGGTGATAAGCTGTGTGGGAGGGTGAGCTGTGAGTAGGATACAGAGGTGGTGTAGTGTGATTTGGACGGGCTGAGTGAGTGGGATGCACAGTGCATGGCAGAGGCATTAGAATGTGAATAAATACGAGTTTACCCACTTTGGTAGCAACTTTAGGAAAGCAGATTATTATTTGAATGGCAGCAAACCAAGAGAGGGGAATGTTTAATGAGACCTGGGCATTGTCCTGTACCAGCTGCTGGATGTGAGTGTGTAGGTCCAGCGGTAGTAAGGAACATAGAGCAATAAAACACCGGAGCAGGCCCTTCGGCCCGCCATTTCTGTACATACCACAAAACCATTCTCAACTAAACCCAACTGCCTGAATATAAGACAACAAGGTGCAGGGCTGGATGAACACAGCAGGCCAAGCAGCC